TGGAATTCTCTTCTGATTAAGGCCTTCATTGTGTGGAAAGACATCGGCCGGTCCATGAATTGCAAAATCGTTGTCCCCTTCTTAGCAATTGTGTCGGCAAGCTCATTGCCTTTAATGCCACAGTGACCAGGAATCCATTGTAGGAACACTGTTTTGTTTTTCTCTCTCAGCAGCTCATAGAGTTTTCTACATTCCTTTATCTCAGCTGTTTTGGGTGTCTCTCTGCTAACAATAGAGTCTATTGCTGACTGTGAGTCCGAAAGTATTACCGCTTTGGTGAATTTCGTATCCAGGCAACATTATTGGCATAGTGCTATCCTAATAGCCTCTATATCTCCTTCAAAAGCGGATCTATTGTGTCCCACTGCTGCGTAAAAAGAGAAGAGTTCAGAATAGACACCTGCACCAATGTTTGCTTGGTTTTCTATGTATGACCCATCAGTGAAGACTTGGAGCCATTGATCTGCAAGATGGTTGACATTGATTTTCTCAAGGGCCAGTGAGCGCATTTGCCCTTGAGGGGTGTTTGATTTCCTGAAGAAGTCGAGCAGTTGGGTGTAAAATACTACATCAGTGTCTGCAAATGGGTCCATGGGGGGAGAGAGGCTTTTTTGTTTGAATTCCATTTGTAATTCTTTCTTCAGTTCTATGGCTTCCTGTATTAAACCAGAGTGCGTTTTCAGATGTCTTGGTCTATTCTCATAGGTGCTGAAGAACTTATAGATGGGAATGCGCAGTAGCTTCTCATACAGGATGAAGGCCTTTTCTTTGATAAGGGAACATATTGTGGTGCTTCCTGTAACTAGGAGCATTGCATCAATGGGTGTTGATTTTATCCCTCCAGAAATTAGTCGTAATGCTTGGTTGTGTGCCTTCTCGAGTGGTTTGAGAGTCACCTCTGTGATTGTAATGAGTGGCTCACAGCAATACAACTTTATTATGATTATATCAAATGGCAGGCGTTTTGATTGTAGTCATTAGCCCTTTAGTTGACTTCAGTCTTCACAGAGGGGATAGAAAAATTCAAGAGGGGGAGGGGAACAGAAGAGTGTTTTAAAGACGAAGGTGGGTAAGGTGGAAAAAGTTAGGATAAGTTCAGTGAAAGTAGTCGAATATGACAGACAGTGGGGTCATGGTAGTTTGAAGTCAACTGCCAGGTAATAGACCTTTTAGGCGTAAGAGTATACGTTGCCCAGGGTGCACCACGTGGAGTTAAGTCTATCACACACCCCCAATACAACATTATTGCTGAATAAACATCTTGCAAGTGGTGTTGAGAGTTGAGCGTGCACAGCCCCATACGCTACCAGCAAGACGCTTCAGTACATTCAGTCTATTGGAGATACGTTCTGCTATTTTAGCAATGTGACTTTTCCATATTAGCTTTGTGTCAAACGTCATTCCGAGATATGTGAACTCATTGGTTTTTCTTAGGGTAGTATCCTTGTACCTTAGAAGCGGGCTCTAGGGTAATATCCTTGTACCTTAGTAGCGGGGTTTTTCTTAGGGTAGTATCCTTGTACCTTAGAAGTTGGTTTAAGCTGTGACGGGCCAAAGAAAAAGTTTGGAATGCAATTTTGGTGGTGTTAATTACCATTCCATTGTTCCCGCATCAGTTTGCTAGTAGTTTAAGTGCACAATTTAGGGCACATTCTGTCCTCTCCTGAGGGTTTTTCTTAGGGGCGGAATACCATAGAACATGATCATCTGCATAAAGTAAGCACTTGATGCCCGTGACTGTCTGTACCAATTCGGCTATGTCATTGATGAAGACATTGAAAAGAGTGCAGCTTGTGACAGCTCTCTGTGGAAGGCCTGTTTGCAAAAGATTGGATTTTGATAGAGCATTTCCGTATCTGACTTTACACGATCTTTGTCCAATGAATGCTTTTATCCAGTTTAGCATGTTATGCTTAATACCAATCTTTGTCAATTTTAGAATTGGCTTCTCTTTCCATACTAAGTCATATGGTGATTTGAAATCGACGAAAACAGCCGTAAGAGTATTTCTTGCATCAAGGGCATCTTTGATGTGTTGGGAGAGAGTGGCTACTTGTTGGTTCGTTGATCTTTGTGGCCTAAAACCTGCTTGTTCACTCCTAAGAATATTGTTGGTCTCAAGGAACCAGGTCAGCCTCCTGTTAACAATTCTTTCCATAAGTTCAGCCACCACGCTTGTGAGGGAGATAGGTCTACAGTTGCCAAAGTTGCTAGGGTCTTTGCCCTTTTTAGTACTGGTATTACTATAGCAACCTTCCCTTGGTTAGGTACGAGACTGGTCTCTCAGATTTTGTTGGAAAGCGTCAGCATGGTTTCCTTGGCTGTTGGTCCCATTCTAATTAGAAATTCTGGATGAATATTTCCTTGGCTTTTGGTCCCATTCTAATTAGAAATTCCGGGCCAGGAGACTCTTTGCACTTGAGTTGTTTATCGCAGCATTAAGTTCGCAAGGTCGGAATGGTTCAGTAATTACATTATTTGGTGTTGCTATGTTTTCCTTAATTTCGCCACATCATTTGGTGTTGCGTCTTCCTTAATTTCACCAAACTTTTGGTGTTGCGTCTTCCTTAATTTCACCAAACTGTCTTACTTGTATCTTTAAATCTCTTGAAGATTTTCTGACAAAAGGTTTTTTCTTTTGCTTGTGGGATTAGAACCTCCCAAAGAAGTTAGTTATTTCGGAGTCGGTGGTTAGCAGTTTGTTTATTAAATGCATTGGTTCTTTTCTGGGTCTTTGCCTGTTGCTTTGGAGGTTACCCAGCAATTTGAAAGTGCGTTGGCTATCACTTTGATGGTTGATATTTAAGATGAACTTGTCGAAGGAAGTGCGTTTAGCTTGTTAGATGGCTTGCCTTAGGACAGCTGATTGTCTTCCTTTCTTCCAGTCTGTTCAGCAGTGTTGTGAAGGGCGTCTCGCTTTCTTTTCAGTTCCTCAAGGTGTCTAGACCAAAACACTCGATAGTGCTTAGTCTTGCCTCGGGGAATAGTTTTCTTTACACATCTGATCATAATATTCGTGATATCAGTGCAAAGTTTGTCAGGATGTTGGTTGAAGTTGAGGGGACTTGTGTGAAGTTCATTCTCCAAAAGTTCTGTGAATCTAGGCCAGTCAGACTTCTTGAAGTTCCATGATAACTTAGTTGGCACTCTTCTTGTCATGCTTTTGCTGCCGATGTTAATACTAGCAATGACTGGTTTGTGACCAGAACCAGGATCGTCAATTATTTTGCGGTGTGTTTGCTCACTGATGTCGCTTGTAGCCAGGAGCAAGTCAAGAATTGTTCTGGTTCCATTGTAGTGCAAATATGTAGCCGGATCCTCATTGCTGTAAATAAGTTCCAGAGGGTTGCTGTTTAGCATGTCTTCAATTTCCTTTCCAGCTATGTTTGTATCCTTGTAGCCCCATCTGGTGGAGTGGGCGTTGAAATCTCCTAATACTATAGTTTTGTGTGAGATGTTTAGAAAGTCAAAGTTTGGACAATTCTGGGGAGAATTATAGACTGCATATATCTTGAATTGGTTTTGACATTTCCAAACATTTAATCTGATTATTTCGCATTTGTCTTGTATCGAGCCCATACTCTTGATTAGGTCGTAGTGTGAGGTGAGGCCATCTTTTACTCCAGTTAGAATTCCACTTGCAACTTGCCGGTATTTAGGTAGATTTTACAGGGTGTAACCTGGGAATTGGTAATACTTCAGTTTGTCATCCGAAATGTTAGCTTCCATAATTGTGAAAATGTTTACATCATAGGTTTTTAGGATTTTCTGTATTTGGATCTTTTTGTCCGGAGACATTCCTCCAGCATTCCACTGGAGGATCTGAAGACGCAGTGGTTCGCCCTGACGAGGGCGATTTTTCTTATAGCCCTTTTTATAGCTAATCATTATTAATCGAAGTCAAAAAACGAATGGCGATTGATAGACTTTTTTGCCGTAAGAAAATACGTTGTCCGGGGTTGCACCACGAGGAGGTAAGTCTATCGCACACCCAATTTTAAAGCACCACGAGGAAGTAAGTCTATCGCGCACGCCTCGAATATAAATGTAGTTTAGTTGAGAATTTAGATAAGACAAGGGAATTAACAATCTGCAAATGGCAGTATGCAAACTAATTTGTGACTGACTGAATTTGGACAGGCAACAACCTAACATCCTCACGGGCATTACTCCTAGTCAGTTAACACGTTGAATTTCAGGCCACCGGAATTGCTACTTGGATATAAGGCGAGCTGGAATGTGATTATAGGTACTCCTAAG